TGAAATTTTAACTATGACTCTATTTTATTTCCAATGTAATAAAATATTGAATTCTAATATTCTACACAAAGAATTACTAATCAAAAGAAAATGCATCTATTGAAAAAGAGATTAAGTTACAACGCAATGAAGTAATTGATTCAAATTTAAATATTAATGAAAATACCCTCAGGTGATTCTTCCATCAAAGCATATTTTCAAAAACACAACAAAAGTATTCAAAAACTTGTAGCTTTGATATCAAAATCTACCTGTCGCGAAGTATCTTCTTGCATTAAAATTTATTACATTTTTATTATCTTAAAAATGAAGTAACTAAATCATTATAGTGAAAAATTATTTATCATATTATTTATTATTTGTTATTTTTTTTTAATATTCGTATCAATGTATTATTATTAGAATAAATTAATATTAAAAACGCGATATGCAAGAAGATCTAGCCTGATCTAATAAATAAAATACAGAATATGTTACTATTCATGAATATAAATACTCATGGTCACTGTGCTCGTGCAAAATTCTATGTATACAACCAGTCACCCGTGTCGATTCGGACCTTTCATCCTACGACATGATTGAGTGATTGGAGGAACCAAATGCATGCGACTCACCATTAGATGCGAAGAATCTGCATTGTCATCGATATTGCCGTGATCCATAAAAATTCACAGAGAAGTCATCCGATAGCAAGATCTATATGAGAACATATAAAACATACAATAATTTAAAATTCAATACATATATTGATTATTTAAAAAAATTCAAATAAAAAAAAAGAAAAAATAATGGAAAATATATAAAGATATTTACCTCTTCGCGTGATGGATGATTATCGTATGTTCTTGAGAGAAGCACTGACTCTATTCTGTATCGAGAACGAAAGAAGGAAAAAAATAAATAAATAAAAGACTATTAACACATCCGTTTAAATTATAATCACTGAACAAACACTGAATTTAATTTCGCGTATAATTATAATTAAATTATAATAAATATAATAAAGAGAGCATTTATACTCTAAAGAATATGAAAAATATTACGAAACAAACACTGACTCTACTAACTGCATTGCACGCAGTCATAAAAATTCTTTGAAAATAAAATTGTATTAGTAGGAAAGAGATATGATAAAAAAAAAAAGAAATATCATTTCGATATTTTATTTTGTTCTATCGAGCATTTTTTTCCAAAAATGTTTCGAATTGATTATTAATTTTTCAGGAATAAAGAAAAAGTATGAATTACTTAACAACAATCGCTAATAATGAAAATAGAACAAATATATATATATAAAATATCAAACTTTACCGTATCTTCATGAAAAAGCAATATTGGCGTCCATATTGGAATTTTTCCCGCCTTCGGAATTCAGCAATTTAACAATCGGCTAATAATCTGTACAAAATATCAAAATTTAAAAAAAATAATTAAAAAATGTATAAATTTAATCAATTATATAAAATAAAACAATAATCAAATTGAAATTCCACTTTATAAAATCACAATATGAATTATTCGTATCTCTAACCTTCAAATAAATGAATAAAAAAAAAAGAATAATTTACCTGTCAAATAATTTTCAATAAATACAAATAAACACGTATAAACAACTATATTGATGTACAAATAATAAAGAACAACTATGGAAGTAAATTTTATGTAAAAAAAGATCACATACTTCGAAGAAAAATGACACGTCTTAACACCACAATTACTGACACTACAATGGCGCCCAACGTCGCAATTTCGATTATCGAAATAGAAACTTAGAGTCGATAAATCGATAAATCGATTATATAACATAATATATTAATCAAATATATATTAATCAATTATATTAAAATTAAACAACAATTAAACTAAAATCATTTTAAAAAATTATTTGAATTTTAAATATAAATTTTAGAAAAGTTTAAATAATATCAAATTTTTTTAAAAAATCATACATCATTATCCCTAACTCTCTCTAAATAGAATAAAAAAAACAATACTTTAGCTCTCAAAGAATTTTCAATTATAAATAATTATCAATAAACATATTTATTTATTGTATTAATAATAAAGAATGATTATGAAATTAAATTTTTATGTAAAAGATAAATCACATACCTCAAGGAAGAGACACGTCTCGACGATACAATAATCGACACTACAATGACGCGTCGCACGCGATTTCGATTATCGAAATTATAAACAGGATACGGTCGATTGTTCCACAAACGAACGTGGCACGAACGCGAACGAAAACAAAATTTTCGTCTATATTATGAAATTTCTTTGAAAAATAAAGATATATAAACAATATAGTTAAACAAAATATGCATGCGTTATTAAAATAACTTGATGAAATAAAATTTATTACGACGAATTGTTAAATATTTGTTTCAGTACGAATAAAAAAACAATAAAAATCTATTCTAAATATAACTATTTTTATGAAAAGAAATAATGTGTTACCTGATATTAAAAGAAAATTGTTGGCAATAAATTATCATGGCGTGTATATGCAATAAATCATAACTTCGAGATATCGACGCAATTAAATGTTAATCTGAACAAATAAAAAGTAAAATTATAAAAATAAATATATAAAATAAAAAATTATAAATAAATAAAGCAGTAATTAAACTGAAATCATGATTAAAAAGGTTATAATATAATACGATCTACCGGTAACCTCAACTGTTATATGATGTTCGAAGAAAAGATCGTAAAGAAATTCGAAAAATAATAATTATATAATTTTTTATTATATTATTACAATATTCAATGGATTATTAAATAAACAGTAAACTATATATTTATTAACAAAATACAAACAGAATTACTCACTGCGTAGTAGGAATCACGAACCGGCGATATGTTCCTTCGTGCTGATTTCCAACCGAAAAATGACGCCATACATCATACGATCATCTAGAAGCTTTCTAATTGGTCAGAGCAACTAGTTCCTTATTTATTTAACCACGCGAAAATTAAAGGATTGTATATCGCATTTTTAATTGTAAATTTCTATACATCAAAATACAAAGATCTAATTAAAAATATAATAAGAGTATAATAAAAACAAATTATTAAAAATTATTATAATTATATAAATTATATATAAACATTTTAAGAAAATTTAATAATAAATATTTATAGTAATATTTATAATATATTTATAAATATTTATAATATTTAAATAATACTTTTGTATATTATTTAACAAATTGAAAGATGGTGTAATATTAAAATGCTAATGTGAATAACTATAATATAAAGTAATTATAGAACACAAATCTAATTTACTAATTTACTTAAATTAAAGTCAAGCTTGTACATCACGTTGACAACTATATCCCACGAAATGCGAAAACGAAAGATAAACTTAATCTATCTTAATCTATCTCCTTTCACGACTAACGAATTTAATCTATCTTAATCTATGTCTAAGCACAACATCCTTAGCCTATTTTAAATTTCCAAAATCTAAAGAAAACTTGAAAATAGACTATAATATTTTAAATTTAATATGTAGTTAAATATAATTTTTTCTTTTGATTAATTCTAAATATCTATTTTATCGATTAGAGAATTCAATATACAAACAAATTGGTCATTTATACGTTATTTCGATTGATGAAATACAGTTTTCTTATATAAATAGAGATTATATAAGAAAAGCTTCGAGAGAGGGACGACTTTGTCGTCTTCAATATTAAAATCGAAAGAAGAATCGTTTTATCGTTTTAAAATTCAACTTGTATGTGAAAAATGAAGAAGAATCGCTGATAATAAAAAAAATTATTTTATTCGATAAACATTCTTTACCAATTATTAAATCTTACCAAATAGATATTATTACATAACATATCCTATAATCTACAACTTATCTGAAACAAATAAATTCTTACATTCTTAAAAATATCAGATCAGAATTATTGGGACTATTCCAGCACATTTCGGCCTATCTAAAACCTAACCTCACTATCTGGAATCGCCATCTTCTCCCCTTGGATGGCATCTCGATAGCATCTCCGTTACTCGTAATAATTTTTTCCAAGTGGAAATGGGCAACGATAGAAACAGTGAAACGATAAAAAGAAAAGAAGAGGCGCGATAAGAGTTGGATTTCGTCGGTAAATCGAAATATCGTGTAAGTGTTCTCGGTCGAAGAAGCCGGCAACCAGGAGCCTAATTAAAAATGTTTCCGTCACGAAGCAGCCCGAGACAAAAGGAACTTATGAATTACGCGAAGAATTCTTCAGCGGCCGTTCATTTCTCGACCATGGAATAAAAAAGGCCACGAGAGGTGAGGTGGAGAAAGAAAAGGGAGAAAAGAAACTTTGTAGCTTTGGTTTTGAATGGTTACGTTGTCACGAACGAGCAAACGAGAATTTGGTTCGATGGAAATTAGATTTTTTTTTTTTCGTTTTTCGTCTTTCGAATTGAGAAAAAAATGTATGTATTTTGTATTTTGATGCGTTTTGTTCAAGACATTAATTACTTTTTTGATAAATTAATTCATTTTTAATATTTGAAAATATCTGTATAGGTTATATAGATATTAGAGAACCAGTTAATTGTTAAATTATCGAATAACAATTTTTTAAGTAATTTGTGCTTTGAGACAGAGATTAATTATGTTTCTGGCTTGATTTTGGAGATTGATGATAAATTATAATTTGAAAAATTGATAATAAATTAAAATTGAATATAGGAATAGTTTATTTTGAATATATATTATTGAATATTATTAAGTAATTAATTGATTATTAGATTACTAAGAAAATAAAAGAAAAATACGCGTTGATTAATTTTTCAGGAAATAGAATTAGAATTAATCGATCGTATTTTAAATAACTTTAAATAAATTACAAAAGTATATGGTTCCAAAGCGTTGTGGTATATTCAAATCAGCGGTTCGTTATGCCCTGCATAAGCCTCTTTAAATTAAGACTTTCACGAATGTTTAGAATGCATTCCCCAAGTTGAAACTCATAAAAAAATTACTGGATGATATACGATATGGAATAATGAAGTTTTAATAGTTTTAGATACTACTTTTTTAATAATGTTATTTAATATTCATAAACGCGCTTTAATATTCAACAGACGCTTATCCTGTCAAATGTTCTTCCATTTTTATCATAATTTTTAACAATTGGAACAAAGTTTAAAATCCTAAATATATACATAAATAATTTTGTCTAATTAAAATATCCTGTTTCATTAAAACTACATAAAATTTAATATAAAATAATATATACTTTTATAATAATTTAATTGCATAATAATTTTGAAATATATTTGATATCTATAATAAATTTAATATAATGCACGTAATTTAATTTTAATTTAATAATTCTGAATTTAATAATCATAATTTTGAAATATATTATATAATTTATCTGACAAACCATGTATAGAACAATTATTATCTTTTTTTTACTTCATCATTTTACTTTATCCATCTGACATCCTATACATTACATTCATTAAAATTCTCTACGCTAAATATTCAAATATACGCCTTGTTCCATTTCCCATCTAATTGACACAAATGATGAAAATATAAACAGATTATTAATTAACTTATATAAAAAAAATAGCAAGAATTTTTATATTTTTTAACTCTCTATCGTACAAACAATGTATCAATTATTAAAATGAAATTAAAGAAAAAATTATTGCTATTTATGCGTATATCACTATGATCCTATGATCCATATATAAACTGTCTCCATTACACAGATTCGTCGACGAGCCGATTAATCACTGTCCGCGTCAAAGTCATTTCTAATCACTGGATGCCATCTTCGTCGCACTCTCAGAGAGAAACTGACACAATATCGACCCCGCACGGATTTACCTACTAACCTAAATAATTTCAAATATGCCTGAATATCCGAAGGATTTGTTTGCCGCAACATCACTGGAATGGAGTTTCTCCCTGTTTCATTCTTCGAATGAATTCGGCTATTCCTCGTTATTTAATTGTTATTCCAACAAAATTGTATATTTCCAACTTTCCTCGTGATAATACTTAGTTAGTTTCAATTAAAAAATTTCTACCAGAAACTGTATTCCAAGTGCAGCGTAGCCAAGATTAATTATATCAAGTTAAGGCAAGAGGATAGATTTATTATCTCAATACACTCTTCCTATTTTCTCAATTTTCCAGCCTTATAATTATCCTCGTGTAAACGTGTATCCATCCTCGCTCATTTCTGTAAAAAATTTTTGCAGAAAATAATTCAAATAATTTAATAAATGTAAAAACTACGTTCGTAACTTACCTTCAACTCTTGCACACATTTGATTGGATATTAAACCTTGTGCGTATTTTTTTCGAAGAGGTTAGGAACACAATTTAATTCTCACGTATTCATCCCATTTTAAATTCATAAGTTGGCCCGCGCGAAAAATTCACGCCCTCGACGATTCCGACTCCAGTTCGAGCCATTTATGAATTTAATCCGGTCAACATCCGATAAAACTTGAAAAACTGGAAAGTGTCAGGAGCGCGCGATAAAAATGAAAAAAAAAAAAAAAAACTTGAATCAGTCGATGCTCGAGCAGCGACGGGTAAACGCCGCTTCCGCACGTTTCAATTAAACGGTCATCAACACCGAAAATTCGCAAAATCTGGTGAAAAAAAAAAAAATTGGTCACGTATCAATTGGTCGATTTGATTCGCCGTTAATTGGCCGATTTGTGAATTAAGCCGTGGGATAACGAAGATAACGTTCGATCTCGGGCACGATAACAGTTTTGAAACGATAGAATAGATCGAATCGAGATATCGAACGCTCTATGATCCTCGAAATCCTCGAGACCTTATCGAATTAAGGGTTCCGTTAATGAGGATGGAATCTATCGTTATCCAATTTGCGATGGTTAGGCCATCTAGATGGCGTAATCGACAACGATAATATCAACGATAAATTTCGAATAGGTTTTGCGTGAGAATTTTGGATTTTCTTGTCGATCGATAGATGAACGAAAAACTGGACTCGTGTTATTTTTCTCGAGTTGTGTTTGTCACTCGTTATTCGTAATTATGATTCCGCCAAACTCTTTGAGAAGAACGGGGAACAACGAGTTTGTTTAATTAATGAACGTTGAACGAACGTTGAGACGAGTTACGATGCGAGTTAAATTACACCTCGATCACGAGCATCGTTATAAAACAAAAAAATTATACAACCGCGTGTATTAAATCAATTTTAATTATTACGAATCGGAACATATTGTGCGCGATGAAAATTTAAATATCTAATTTTGCGCCATTAAAGCAACGCGTTAACGCGGTGACAAACACGTCCCCGGTGGGAACATTGAACGATTTGCATTTGCGGAAATGAAATTGTTATGGGGCCGCGAAACCCGAAACGGTGAAAGTGGCATCGTTAATGGGGCGAAATTCACAAACGAGAGAATCCCTTGAACATGATGGAAAATATTTCTATTCTAGATATAAAAAGTGTTCAAAAATTTAAGAACTTGACTATTCGAGGCTGAAACAATTTTGTCAAATTTTAATCAACTTACTCGAGAATTTAGAGGAAACCACGCCATTGAATTTACTTTTTGATTCATTTCGATATCTCAATCGGTTGCCGAGATATGAGCGCTCAAAGTGTCCATAGCGTTTAAAATTGTAGTAGGAATTATGCACGAGTCCAGTGATCGATATTTCTTTTTGGAATTGTATACGTTTTTCCTGCAATCGTATCTGCTGCATTTACCTGGAATTTGAGATAAATGTGAGTAAGCGAGTAAGGCGTAAGATAATAAACGATTAAAAATTACCTTTTCTTTACACGATGATATCTCGGGAACCGGAAGTTGTAGCATAACGAATGAAAAAGTATTATAAAGAGGAAGGTTTAGCGCTTCTAATGATCTTTCATTTATCAACCGGAAGTTATTTTCTCCGGAATTATAGCGATTCAAATTTTTCCTAATTTCGATAGGATTTAATCAAATTTAAGGTAAACGATTAAAAATTACTTTCTCTTTACACGATGATATCTCCGGAACCGGAAGTCGTAGCGAGACAAATAAAAAAGCATTTTAAAGGGGAAGATTTCGCGCTTCTAATGGCCTTTATCATTTATCAACCGGAAGTCGCTATCTTCGAAGTTACAACGGTTGAAATTTTTTCTAATTTTAATCGAATTTAATCGAGTTTCAAGGTAAATTTTACTTTTACGACGAACACGTTCATTTCTAAAAGAATATTTCACAGTATCTCGTTCACGAATTACGAAATATTCACGGCATGAAACAAGCGTCTAATTAATCTCGTTTCTACAAAAACGACTGCTATTTTCAACTCAACGTCCTTTGTCAGCAATTAACTTCCTTCAAAAAATTTTCCTACCTTTCGTACAGTGTCTAATCGCTCGTTCATGCACAATGTACATGGCACACATGTACATCGCACGGCGAATAACAAGCGTTTAATTAATCTCGAACGATAACGAGCGCTACTTTTAATTCAACGTTCTTTGTTCGAATGAAAAGGAAGCTCGATCGTTGTCCCGATGAATAATACACCCATTACGAATCCCATTGTGAAACAGGTCGCCGTTTAATAATGCCGTGTCGAAGACGCGTTTCAGTATCAATAGCTCGCGTCCTCCTCCCTGGAAAATATAATCGATGAATTAATTTTTAACATGCAATCGCAACAGATCTTCCGACGTATATGATTAATAGGATCGATGGATCCAAGTATAGATTCTTAAACGCAATATTGGACGAAAATTTTTCATTTCTTTGAATTCAATTTACTTCGAGAAATAAATTATTTTTTATTTATACTCTCGATTCGAAAATATTCTAATTCAATATAATCCAATATTATAAACAAACTAAAATCGCTTAATCGAAACGATTAATTGAACGTCGCGTATTAAAAGATGCAAATTTCACTTAAGAAGAAACAACGTCTCGTCCAAGGGATGTCTGCTTGAAAAATGGAGGAGGATCGTGAATCACGTCGTTCACGGGCCTAAGAGCTGGACACGTGTCGTATCTTGAGCCGGGGAGAATTTTATCATACGGTTGCCATATATTCGATACGAGATGCAAATCTAAGTCAGGAAATTCAGATAAAAGGGACGGCACGTGAATAGAATTTCACCCGAAGAATCGTCGATCATGCTGGACGATGCGAATTCTATGGATGAAAATATTCAAAATTTGTGTATTGATTAACAATTATCGAGAAACCAATTTTTTTTCACTGTTAGAAAATAATACTTTTAAAATTCTTAATACTATTTATAATAAAAATAAAATTTTATAAAAACAAAGAGAGATAAGCAAAATTTTAATAATTGAGGTTAAGAATAACTTCGATAATTTATTGTCATTCGAAGCATCGAATAATCGCAAATAAATAATGTCTCAGTTATTCGAAGATTGGATCAATCGTAATAAATGTCAATAAATAAAATATTGGATAACTTTATTCGAGATTTTTAACTAGTTACTTACTAGTTCTAGTTACTTTTTTACAACGGGCATTCTGGTACACGCTTGGTAAGAGACGAGTGATTAGCCGCTCGATAAACAGTAATAACGAGCGTTTCTGGTCGGGCAGACGCGGCCTCTCCCACGTGCAGTGATCGATACCGGCAATTGGTCGGACGGAAAGGATGGCGGCAAGCCATATGGAACGCGTGCTATCGCCGCGAATTTATCAACGGTCGGCCATTTGTTATGTTTATACGGCGAGGGGCGAAATTAATCTTTCCAATTGAGCCACGATCGGCCATGATTCGAAATTCTGGGATCGAATCCGCGATAATTCGCTGTGTACATTGCCGCGCTCGAGTTTACTTTCGCGCGTCCACGTGTTTGTCTACGAAATAGAAATAGAAATCCGGGTTTGTCTCTCTCTCTCTCCCCCTCTCATCTATCTGGTTATCTATTTATTTATCTATCTGTTTATCTATTTATCTATCTATTTATCTATTTATATGTTTATCTGTATATCTATTTATCTGTTTATTTATCTGGTTATCTATTTATCTATCAGTTTATCTATCAGTTTATCTATTTATCTGTTTATCTTTCTTATCTATTTATCTTATCTATCTATCTATCTCATCTGTCTATATATCTTTCTCTCTCTGCAAAATGTGAAATTGAAAATCTTTTTTTTCTTTTTCCTTTCTTCTGTTTTGTGTTCCAGAAAGGGAAAAAAAGCTTTCTTTTGGGGAGATTTCTCATCTGGTGAATGGTGAGATGAGGATGATGGATAGATTGAATTATCTAGTGGAGTAGTTAAGATGAATGGAATTGAATTACGTGGAAAACAATTATTAGTTATAAATTTGGATGGAGAATATATGATAAAATTTTTGAAGGAATAAATTAATGGAGAGTCGCATTGAAAAGTGGAAAGTTGCGAATCGAAGCAAATACAACGACGAAAAAAATCTTAATTTTTAATTCATCATAATGAACATTATTCATCAACTCATTCATTACTCAAAGTAATCAAAATTCATATTACAATGAAAATTTATATATTTAAAAATGAGAAAATATTTCTTCCAATCAATTTCATTTCAATTACATCATTTCCATAAATAGTTTATCCGTATAAAAAAGGATATCACGAAGAACGAATACTTTTTCTTTAATCTACAACAATAACAAACATAAATTAAATTTACGATAAAAATGAAATTAAGTCTTAAAACTTATTTGTCGCGTGCATACCGCGCGAATGTACACAGTAATTTTACACGCGGTGCACAATTTCATAAACTCGAAGTGACGCGAGTCACAGGCGAGAAGGAGAGGCATTGAACGGAGAGAAAAATAAGACGGTTCGTGTCACCGTTTTTATGCACAAAAATGGCGATGGTTAACCGGGACACTCGACCGCGTTTAAATATCCGTCCGTCCCACCACATTTGCATCGTTCGAGGAACACTGGCCTATGTAATACGAAGCAAAATAAATATTAACGAGTCGTATAAAACTTTTTCCAATGTTTTTTCATCGACTAATATTTATAATTTAAATTACTGGTAAAAATAGAATCGTTTCCAAATATATCCATATAAATTTCCATATAAATTTTTAACTTCTTACTACGGGCGTTTCTTTATTTGCTCGTTTAAATTTATGAAAAAAACTTTGAATCTTT